TCCTACACTGTTGGTGGGAATGTAAACTGGTTCAGCCACTGTGGAGAACAAGATGGAGGTTCCTCAAAGATCTACAAATAGAACTACCATTTGATCCAGCAATCCCACTTCTGGGTATTTACCCAAAAGACAGAAGAACGCTCAGTCAGAAAAGTGCTTGCACATCCATGTTTATTGCAGCATTATTCACAATTGCCAAGACATGGAACCAACCTAAATGTCCACAAACTGATGAATGGATTGGAAAAGTGTGGTATATATACTCTATGGAATACTACTCAGCCATAAAAAATAACAAGACCCTGGAATTTGATAGAAAGTGGTCAGATATGGAGGATCTATTGCTGAGTAAAGTAAGCCAGGCTATGAAGGAAAGTTATTGTATATATCCACTCAATATTTACTGACTCTCCACACTCTAAGGTAGAGAGCGAAAAATTAGAGCACATAAAAGCAGTGAAGTTACTTAACGAGGATAAGACAGTCTGGAAAGGGGGAGGAGAAGAGAAGAGAAGAACATAGAGATAACAAGAGAACAAATAGAGAGGAATGACATTAGTAGGACACAGATATGGCTTATTACCTGTTGATGATGACATGTATAGTATTTTCAACTGGATTGGTCTGAGATGTATTTCATGTTGGGTAAAGCCTTTTTATAAGCAAAATGAGAAATAATGATGGACTGTTTAAAAAATAATTGGAACAATAATAATAATGATCGGGAAAAACAATGACAAGCTATTGGATGATGAAATGGGAATTTTAATGTCTCTGTATTGACTGACATGCATGGTATTTTTTTAAGGAGAAAGAAATGTAATACACTGTAAAGTTATATGTGATTCAATGTTATATAAACAAGATTATGATGATAATAAATAAATTTAAAAAAGAACCAGATTCTGAGCTGGACTTGGCCCATAAGCTGTAGTCTGACAACCCCTGTTTAGTGTATATCCCAAAGTTTTCTTTTAAATAATATTATTTTAGATGTAAAATATCCACAATATCCAAGAATTCTTACAATATTCATATTTTTATATTCAAAATTTTAAATATTAAAATTTGTTGTATTTTATTTTAACCCTTTCTTTTAAAATAGTTCAATGTTACAGATACATCTAAAAATCTTCCCCTATTCTCAGTCACCCAATTTCTAGAGTTTCCATTGTCCTGACTTTATCTGTATATTATTTCTGTGCATAATTTTTAGGCTTTTATTATTTGAATTACTCTTAACAATATTGTTTTGTGTGACTTTTTAAGTTCACATAAAAGAATCGTATTATAGGTACCTCGGGTGTTTCATGTGACATTTTGTTTTTGAGGTATGTCCAATGAGTTCTTATCTTATCCTCCTTGGTAATGCATATGTATAAGTTGTTATATGTCATCCTAACTTATTTTAGAGAGTTTGCATTTGTCAGTCCTCTTTTAACAATTAGTCTGTGTTAATGTTTTTTTTTTTCTTTTTTTTTGATTGCTATAGGGTGCGTGTGCTTGCCAGAAAGCCACAGAGAGACAGAGAGCCAGAAAGTGAGAAATCACCCCTCAGGGGGGATGGCCACGTCGCAATCCCTTCTTCTCCATTCTCCTCTCGGGATTTTGGGCACACACGCACACACGCCCAGTGTGAGTTTAACCCACCGGGTCCGGGACTCGAACCGTGGTCGACTACATGGGAGTCCAGCGACATAGCCATTACGCTAACTGCTGGTCCCAGTCTGTGTTAATGAATGCATTAACCTCACAGTTTATATTTAATAGTTTAGACTTGAGGGAACTCAGAGACCATTCAGTCTAAATCCCACATCTTACAAATAATGGGCCTAATGAGAGTAACTGGCATGTCCAAGATCACACAGCAAATTAGAATCACATTCAGAAGTAGAAACTAGATTTTGTGCTTACCACTACTTAGACGAATAAACCTGTTACCACACATGTGCTCCTAGGCCATAACAGCCTTGCATTATATTGGATTGTTGGAAAAGTCATGACATATTTTTTCTGTTTTTCTATTAAAAAGTGCATTATGACTTTTCTGATGACCCAGTAATTGGAGCAAAATAACAATAACTAAACAGTATTTCTCTGTCCTTTCTGACACTGTAGAATTGCTGGAATTCCTGGTCCTTTTAACTAGCTCCAATTTGGTAAGTACCAGAGGAATACCTACGTGAATTTAACTGTGTACATCATTTGATTACCATATGGAGTGAACCACGTTCCTCTAAGATGCACTCTAGCTCATAGTTGTCTAGACCATAATCTTCTTAGCTATGTTCTGCCTTTTTTTCCTGCTGGCTCCTATAATTGAAAGCTCTCTTTAGCCTTCACACCTGCTCCAATGGGTGATGTCCTGTGTGACTTCTGCTTTATGGTCTCTCTAGGCTGCTTTGGTGTATTGTTCTGTGTGTTGTGCACATTTTGTATTACCATGGTGACCACAAATGGAAAATCCATCTATCACCTTAGTTGTGCTAAATCTATAGAGATTTAGTGAAACAGATCTTTTAAACTTCATTGCAGGTCCTTTCCCCAGGACTGTGACAGAAGAACATGAAGACTGGATAATGGAATAATGAAAGTAACAAAATCACTCTTGCCATATGAGGTGGACTGTTGTACTTAGACAAGGTTTATTCGTCACATTTTGCTCTATTTTTTATTTTTTTGAGGTTTTTGCTATAGGGCACATGCGCTCACCAGAAAGACACAGGAAGACAGAGACAGAAAGTGAGAAATCACTCCCCGTGGGGGATGGCCACACTGCAATCCCTTCTCCATTCTCCTCTCAGGATCTTGTGCACGTACACGTGCCTGGTGGGAGTTTAAGTCACCTGGTCTGGGACTTGAACCGCAGTCGACTACATGAGAGTCCAGCGACATAGCCATTAGGCTAACTGCTGGTCCCCACATTTTGCTCTATTCTAATAATGAGCCCTGACCTCCCACTCACAATCCGGGATACTCCATGATCTTTCATGAAAATCATTTCCTTGCAAATCTATTCCACCCACCCTTCAGAAGTATCCACATATTTTAAGCTCCCTGATGAAAAATCTATTTCACTAATTAAGATCTCCTAATACACAACATTTTTAAATTTTAAAGAATTTATTTTTATTAATTTAGTCCAGCTTTTCCTACATCCCTCTTATTCTGGTATTAAAGATTTATAAGAGCACATTTTCTTCCTTTAATCCAGGCACTATATTCTTGATTCATAGGAAATACCATGTGTGATTTCATTATTTAACTACTATGACTACAAATGAAGATTTAACTATCTCTTGAGAAAAATTTTGTTTTTCTTCTCTTAGTAACTAGCCAGGGTTAATGTGGTAAGCATAATACTTGCCCTCCAAATATGTCAATATTCTAACTCCTGGCACCTGTTACTATATACTACCTCACATGGCACAAGGGACTTTGTAAATGTGATTAAGATGAAAAGATGGGAGAGTATCCTGGATTGTCTGAGTGAGTCCAGCAAAATCACAAGGGTACTTAAAACTATAAAATCTGGGGCCAGCAGTTGGCATAGTGTTAAGATGCTGAACTCCCACATGGTTGACTGCAGTTTTGAGTCCTAGACTCGGTGGCTTTAAACTCATATTAGGAGCATGTATGTGTGTGCCCAAAATCCTGAGAGGAGAATGGAGAAGGGACTGCAGTGTGGCAAACCGTCCTGGAGGGGTGATGTCTCACTTTCTGTCTCTCTGTCTCTCTCTGTCTCTCTGGTGAGTGCACATACCCTACAGCAAAAAATCTCTCTTTAAAAAAAAATGTAGAGCCTTTCCAGGATGTAGTGAAATTGAAAGAGATTACTGCAGAAGGGTCAGTAAGATGTGACATTGCTGAGTTTGAAGATGGGAGAAGGGACCAGGAGTCAAGGACTACAGGCAGCCTCTAGAAGATGAAAATGGCAAGGCTCCCCTTAAGCTTCCAGGAATGAACACAGATCTTATATTGAGTTCAACTCAGTGAGACCTGTGGTGGAAGTCTGACTTAGAAAACTGTAAGATCATACTTTTCTTATTAAATCATTATGCAAACTAGCTATGACATCTGCGATAGCATGAATAGAAAACTGATCCAGTCAATAACCCATTTGCAGATTAGCTAGTTTTATTTCTTAATTTATAACCTGTTTTATTCCTAAAAGGCTGAAGCAACACAAAATGATATGAACCAAAGACCAAGAAGGTATATATTAAATATGGGCACAAAGGTGGGGGGAGAGACAAGAATAGAAGCATAAAATGAAACCTAAGAATGAGACTAATACAAAAATCCATCCCATAAATGCATATACCACAAGTAGTCTCTAAGCTTTCTAACAGTCAATGCAAAGAAGGAAATCCTATCAGTTCCATAATGCATGTCATCATAGTATTTATTATATAACAGCAGACTATTTTCTTAGAATAAGTTCAATTTCACTGAGACTCAGACCAGATGAAAATGTCTCCTGAATTTGTATTATGCAATGGTAACATCTCTAACAGTTATAGATTGGAAGTTCCTCTAAAGATTCATGCATTGGGACCTGGTTGTATTATAAAGGTGGTACGCAAAAACTTAATGTCTTTGTGGTGTACTGGCTGGGAGGGGATGGAGGCCTTTGGGTGTGATAAGGTCACTAGGCAGAGCTCCTGTAATTGAATTCTAGTAGGTTTATAAGAAGAGAAAGGATCAGAACAGAAAGAAACTTATGCACAGCTACTGTGCTCAAAGTTCTGCCCTACACCATTTCATAACACTTTTGGACCTTCCACATGGTCAGAATCCTGAGTGAGTTAAACCAAGTCTCTTAAATTCACCCAGTCTCAGGTATTCCTGTAAGCAAAGCAATAACAAATTAAGACATTAACAAAACTCTTATGTCCACAAGTCTATGCTAAATTGTACCATTAGTATTATATTCCAATGAACACATTTTGGTTTACAATTTGCCAAATAAATGAAATAATGATCTAACTTACCAATTTCCAGAAGCATTCTTGATCCATAGGGAATTCACAGATCTCACCTATGTCTCTTCTGAAACTAGCAGAATTAACGGGGGAATACATTTTGTTCCTTTTGAAGACTTATGGTTCTTTCACAGCTAGGTTTCTTTCTTCTCCACAGAACAGAATTTCTTTGTCCTTGCATACTTCAGGTAGAAACTTCAGTGTAGTACAGATAGAAGAAATTCTTGGTAGGGGAAAAAAAGATAGGGTCAACATTAAAGTGATGTAAGCTACCTCCTATTCATTGAAAAAATGTCTTTTTAGGTCACAGGAACCAGAGTATGATTTCATTTAGTCACACAATTCTGTCTCAAATCCTCCTGGTGAAAGAGTGACAATAACAGATTGGCCTCAACCAGAATGCAGAAAAATATTTGGTATTATCTTATGCATTATCTCCTTTCTGAATACACAGTCCCTTTAAAGACAACAAGGGCTTACAACATAGTAGAAGAGAAATAAGTGACAGAACAACTGAAATAATATTTAAAAGTTTGCTATTAATTTATATTACTGAATGTCAGCCTTTTGTTATGATTATGGTGCTTGATGGATGAACATTTATCATTTTTATTGAATACTTAAATTCTGGAAGTACACTGTCTACTTCAATACTGTAAACCACTGAGATATTTAAATGTTGGAAATTGATAAATGAAAGGTAGAATGAGTTATTCTCTCTTACAATATGGAGCTACATTTTCATACTTAGGGAGTTTCTATTCTTTCTAACTGAAACAATATGTTCCATTGTTTAACATTCCAGAATCAGAAATGTTACATCAGCCATGCAGATGGAGAAAGCACTAGACTTTACAATGAGGTTTAAAAAGAAAAAGTAGTTACCAAAGAGCCGTAGGGATGAATGCACACAGAAGGGGCAGAACAAGCCGGATCACAATTGACAGATTGCTAAGGATGAAAGTGAGCAATAGCAATAAAATTATAGTTTTTCAATAGTTTTTTCAAGGCATATTTGTACTTATAGATTCTGACATGTTTTACATATGTCCTTAGTCAATTTCCAAGCATGTGTAGGTGCCAAAAGATAGAAAGTAGAGTCCTATTTGTCATGAGGTGAGTGCCACAAAGCAGGCTAAATAAACTCTTGAAAAAGAACACTTGGCAGAGTTTAAGGGTACCCCAGGCAAAGTAGCTTTTTCAGGAAAAAAAAAAAAAAAAGAGCCAAAACATGTAGATTCTCTCAAAGCTCCTGGCCTGGGCCCATTATGCTAGTGTTCTGGAGATATCCTCCCTTGTCTCCTACCAGATACTAAAGCACTTTCTATTGCCCTTAGGTTTTTGACCAATGGTCTTCTGCCCTTCCCTGGAAGACCCAGCTTCACTTTCTGTTCTAGTTTTGTTAAAAAGTTCTGAATGTGGTCCATGGGCCCTAAGGCATACATAAATGGCTTTAGAATTTTGTTTTTTAAACTTGCTGAAACTGCCTGCAAATGGTATGGGAATATACATTTCTCTAGGGGAAAAAAAGTGTATACTTTTTATCAGATTTCTCAAGGAATATGTTACCTCCAAACCTTAAGTATTAATGACTGAATGTCCATGTATATCCAGTGACCTGTACTTGACATTAAGGATACAAAGACATGCAATAATCTTAATCACGGTGTTTGTAACACCTTACATACCATCACACATTATTTGTCTTGCAAACTAATCATACAGGTATCTATCCTTGAAGGGGTTACAGCTCAATTGTGACAAAAATACATGTTCTGATGGGGGCCAGCAATCCGCATAGTGGTTAAGGCACTGGACTCCCATGTGGCCAAGTGTAGTTCAAGTCCTGGACCCAGCAGCATGAAACTCACACAAGTCACATGTGTGTGCATGGCTAAAATCCCAAGAGGAGAAGGGATTTTAACATGGCCAACCACCTGGGGGGGGGGGTGGTTTCTTTCTTTCTGTCTCTCCGACGAGCACACATGCCCTGTAGCAAAAATCTCTCAATAAATAAATAAATAAATAAATAAATAAATAATACACACTCCGATTACTTCTTAAATATATATTAAGTTTCTACCATGTACTAGGTTCCATTCTAAGCACTTGAGCTACATGAATAAATAAAACAAAATTCTCTGTCTTAGAATGTCACTTTATATTCATTCTGCATTTAAGAAATTTAACATGGGAAGACTCTGAAAACAATGGATATGATTTATTTATTTATGAGAGAGAGGGAGAAAGAGAAGGAGATACTGATTTTTGACTGGGTCTCACCACATCGGGATTCTCCTGCCCTATTCTCTCAGATAGCTAGGAACACAGGTGGGCATCACCTGACTGGACCTGTTTAGATTGAGCTGAACTGAACCAGGGCCTCCCACATGGCCTCAGCCTACAAGCATCAGCTTCTTAGCAGTGTGAGTCACTGCAGCTTAGCCCCAAACAATATATACTATTGTATAAAGTAATAGCAAAATACTTAACAGGCTGCAAAGTAAAGAACTTCCATTTAAACCTCTATTCTTAAAAAGCACCCTGTCTTATCTATTAGAAATACCCTGCCTTAAACACTGTCTCCCACTTTCAAAATTTATGGAATAAATTTGATCCTTACTTCAATTTGAACCCTGGGATGGCCTTAATAAACTTCATTTTCAACTATGGGGAGCCTCCTTTAGGTAAGTTATATAAACATCTGGTCTATTTTGACACAGAAGCCAAAAGATGAAATTAGTGATAATTTTTTAAACTTTAAAGAATATTATATTATTTAGGGACCAACAGTTAATGTAATGGCTATGTCGCTGGACTCTCATGTATTCGACTGTGGTTCAGGTCCCGGACCCTGTGGTTTTAATCTCATCCAGGGTGCATGTGCATGCATGTCCAAGATCCCAAGAGGACAATGGAGGAGAAAGGATTGTGGTGTGGCCATCCCTCCTGGGGGGTGATTTCTCGCTTTCTGTTTCTGTCTCTCTCTGTTTTTCTGGCTAGCACACGCGCCCTATAGCAAAAACCTCTCCAAGAAAGAAGAAAAAAAGAATATTACATTATTTCAAAATTGTATAAACTGAGGCCACATATTCTATATTATTGTTTGTCCCATCCTATTTGGATTTCATACCCTAGTGGCACAGGGCCTAATGTAAGTAGTAAACAATACGATTATCTTTTTTTTTTAACCTCCAAATAGTAAGGAGGTAGTAATTTATTTTTAGGAGCACAGAAAATAGGATGTACATATTTGTTTAAGTTGTGAATAATATAAAGAGAAAAAGCATTAGGTGACAAAGCTTAAGATATTTGGATGATAATGTATATTAAACCACACAAATGAAAGAAATGCTAGTCAAACACAGTAATTATCCAATATGTATTAGGTCATCTGGAAAGTTACGATGTATTTTTCTATATTTCTCAAAGCAAAAAATGTGTCATGACTGCTAATGACCCAATAGTTCTCTGTTTTTAAAATACATCATGCTAGAAAAGAGAATAGGTAATGTTAAATATTATCATATTTCATTATAAATACTATATTAGTAAATCTTCATCCTAGCTGACTTTCTGTCTCTCAGCCTGGATTAGTTATTCTGCCTAATGTAGACTTAGGTATGGAATTCCCAATCTGTTCCTATTATTTGGCTGTTCAGTAATCAGAGATAAAAATCTTCTTTTCTTTTGTCACAGGCTATGCCCCTAGCAGCCACTGTGCCAATGTATGTACTTAGAAGAATATGCAGGGCTCAGAACAGAGTATCCTCTGGTCTTGCAGGAGAAAAAAAAAAAACACACTTCTAATAAATGAACCAGAGATGCCATCTTCATATTCAAAAGATAATACTTATTGTCTTGGAATCATGCTCATGACTTTGAGATTGCCAGATCGTTACCACTTTTAATCTTCTCACCCACCCCTCTTTTACATGGAATATATATTCATTTATCTCTGAATTCTCAATTTCTGATATATCAGAAGGTGTTCATCTTTTCTCTAAGGGTCAGAATAGGTTCTGGTAAACCATAAAACTGATGTTCTGGGAAGAATTGCTGTAATTGGTGTTCTAACAGAGTTCTTTGTGCCTTTGTGTCTATGGAGGGAAGGAAATGTTTCCCCTTTACTAATTGTCTTTCGCTCTCCTTAGAGTGCCAATTTCATTTACTGGGACTACTTTAAAACCGTTCTTTAGAAAATGATTTCTGTCATTCTTTGTAACATCCAATTCTTGTGGGGTTCATTATACAGGTTTTCCACAGCCACTTTCTATTCATGTAACACACAAACATTTCTCTTTTCCATTTTTGCATTCTTAATATGCCTATGCTCTCTACTATAAAATATATCTACTTTTCTTTTAATTCATCCATCTATGCATTACCACCTTTAGGTCTACTGTGAAATCACTTTAAGACAACAGATTAAAAACTTATATAAAAACTGTTCAGAGTCAGAAGGATGCTATTACTGAAAAAGTGGCTATCAGAACCCACCTAATAGGACCTTGCGACCTCAGCTCTTATAAACCAGAAGAGCCAGAGGTAAGAGCCCCGAACTCAGACGAACTCACCATCAGAATCACATCTCTCTTTGGCTCCTCTGCAGCTGTGCAGGTTCATCGATTAGGTACTTGTAGTAGTCTGCTGGGGCTGCCGTAACAATATAACACAGACTGGCTGGCTGAAGAAACCAAAATTTATTTTCTCACAGTCTGGAGGCTGGAAGTCCAAGATCGTGGTCCCAGGGTTGGTTTCTAGTGAGCACTCTCTTCCTGGATTGCAGACTGCCTTCCTGCTGTGTCCTTCACGTGGCCCTTCCTCTGTTCATGCATGGAGAGAGAGACAGAGAGAGAAATATCACACACCCTCTTCCTCTTTCTCTTATAATAACACCAGTCCAGTCAGATTAGACCTCCACCTTTATTACCTCAATTAACCTTAAAAATGTCTTTAAAGGTTCTATCTACAAACACATTCACCTTGGGGATTAGAATGTCAACATACGAATTTTGTGGGGGGGATGCAGAATTCAATCCATAACAGTACTATCATACTGAACTTCCAGACTGAACTTCCATCTTTTTTCTCAGGATTCAGTTCCCATGCCTTCTGCTCTTTACAGTTGAACTTAGCTTGGCATGTCCTTTAAGAGACCTCAATTGTACTTAATTTTCCAGTCTTGTCTCTGTATTCCTGGTTCTTGGTTCCTTTGCTTCTATGTTTCAAGTTTCACTCCTATAGATCAGACTGTGTATGTAGACGATTTAAATTTGTCTCCCCAGCTTTTCCCTCAGAGGGGAGTATATTCTGTGAAAGAAGAGAATCATTTTCCATATAATGGCAACATTCTAGATAAAGACCCACTACTAACCCCCTACACATCCGCCTAACCTCACACTGATAGACGTGTGGCCTTATCCCTCCCTGTTCTGGCCACAGTCAGCTATTCTAGTACCAAACTCCAGTCAGCAGGCCCTGCTCTATCCCACCTAAATTCTTGGAATCCCATGTAAATGTCAAACAAACCCATATGCTCATATAGCTTTGTCTCATTTTAAAAATAACCAAAGTGCTACTGCCATTAGTGGTGACCCATACAAATTACAAATTTAGATTTGGGGAACGATAAAATAAAGTCCTTGTTAACATTAAACTTGAACTTGGAGAGCTAAAGTCAACTGATGACAACACTATTATGAGATTTCTCATGTCTTTCACCAAATTTGAACATATATCATTTCCATCCTCCATCAGTTATATTTTCTTTGAATCGAGTCCTGTGTTCAGATGGTACATCTCCACACTCTAAATTCTAATGTAATAAAATATATATCTCCATAGTTTTATGAAATAGTTTCTTCCATGTCAGTTAGTTTAAGAATTCTTCACTATCAAATTTTATGAAAATTTCAGAAAAATGGCTTAGACTTTTGAAGGATAGAAAGTGGGCTGGGTAAAAAAGAGAAAGTATTTCTAGTGAGAAAAGAATCCTCTGAAGAACTTTGTATTCCAGTGAATCCTAAAGAGAGAATTGAAATTGATGTCTCTGGGGCAAAACGGCTCATATTGCCATGGGCAAAATTCTACCAAACTATCTGAGCACATCTAGCTGATGAGAGACTATGTTGCTTGAGATTCTTTTGTACTCCCAAATGTGCTTAACTTAGAATTCTATATCCTTTGTGTTTTCAGGGGGAAGGCTGCAGAAACAATTGCAATGATTTAAAAATAGATACTTGCCTCACCTTTATTTTCTTATTTTGTGGCAACTGACAGCAGATTATTTGAAGAATTCAAATTCCAAACATCTTAAACCTGCATTGAAAACAAACAAAAATCCTTGAGTTTTTTGTGCTCGTTGCTAACGTATGGTTTCTGAAAGCCAGAATGTCATATGCCTGTCACAAAATTCAGGGAAAAAAAAAAATTAGTGCTTAATGCTTCAGTACCTAAATGACTTTTAAAAGTTGAAGGATGAATGAAATGTATCTTCTGACTTACTCTTTTTTTATAGCATATTATTGTGTTGTTGGAAAAGTCATGATGCATTTTTGCACAGATAAACATAGAGAAATACGTCATGACTTTTCCAAATATTTTTTGAGAGGATTTTTGAAGTAACACGTGTTACAAGACGATTATCGCACCAAATGCTTTGTTTATAGATTGTACCATTTCCAGGCCTCCCAGGTTGAGGTCCTTCTGACCTCCTGGAGCTCTGCTGGAGGCCCACAAAGAGTACACCACCTGCTGCTCCAGGCGAACCCACAGACCCCAACACCCACCAGGGGATGCAGCCTAAAGCAGTGGTTTGGAAGATGTGAGGTGCATGTTCATGTGCCCCAGGGCCACGGGGGTGGGTCGGTGGGGGTGGAGCTGCAGGCCAGGGGACAGCACTGGGGCAACAACCTCCCTGGCTACACCAGTCACGTGAGCCCATTTTGAGATGATCACCACTATTTTGGCAAACATTTTTTCAAATACTTCTGTAAGTTTTTATGTAGTTGAAATAACATTTGTATAATTTTTTGTATAATCTTAAATTAATACCATAAGCACTTTTGTGTGTTAATAAAAGGTTTTGAAATGTAATATTAAATAGCTTAATGATAGTTTAACAAGGGCAGTCCATCAATTTTTTAATATTTCCTATTGCTGAGAATATAGATTGTTTTTAATTTTTTGTTACTATAAATAACACTACAATCAACATCTTTAAATTTCTGAACAAATTTCTCATTTCCTCAGAGTCAATTCCTAAAAGGGATTTACTAGGTTAATAAGTATTTTTTTAAAACAAGAAAACTTAATGCTCATTCTGAGAATCTGTTACTGTTTTTGTTTTTATTTCAGAAAATGCTAATAATTACATTGCTTCTTTCACATAAACATAATATAAAATGATTTTTAAAGAATTATTTTATTTAACTTTATTTATTAGTTTATTTATTTTAATTTGACCAGAGAGGGCAGAGAGAGAGAGAGAGGGAAAGTGAGAAAGCAAGCTGCCAGGTCTGGGACTTGAACCAGTGTGTGTCAGTCATGAGGGAGTCCAGAACCCTTAAGCACCATGTCACCTGCTGGCCCCTAAAATGATTTTTTTTTAAGTTAGATTTTTTCCCAAGCCCTACTGCACCCAGTTTGATTGTGGGTCTCTGAGACCGGAATGTTGAAAACTTCTTTGCAGCCAGGAGGATGCCCTGGGGACTCTGCAGCCCTTACCATGCCACAAAATGAATGAATTGAAGTACATCATAAATGCTATGGATATTGTTTGAATTACCATGAGAAAATGATTTTTTTTTAAGTTAGATTTTTTCCCAAGCCCTACTGCACCCAGTTTGATTGTGGGTCTCTGAGACCGGAATGTTGAAAACTTCTTTGCAGCCAGGAGGATGCCCTGGGGACTCTGCAGCCCTTACCATGCCACAAAATGAATGAATTGAAGTACATCATAAATGCTATGGATATTGTTTGAATTACCATGAGAAAAAGAGAAAGAAGGGAAGTGAAGAGGCTCATGAATGTTCAAAGAAGGCTAAAAAGATGATTGGTCTGGAGGCTAAGCTCTACCCTAAACAGCGCCATGCTGAGAAAATACAAATGAAGAAAACTATGAAGACGTGTGAAGAGAAGAACACTAAACAGGATGATGAGCAGACTCCACAAGGAGCAGTACTTGCCTATCTGTTGGACAGAGAAGGACAGTCCCGAGCTAAAGTACTTTTCAATATGATTAAGCAAAAATGGAAAGAGAAAGCGGGAAAATGGGAAGTCCCTCTACCCAAAGTTTGAGTGCAGGAGAAACATCAGGATTAAAACTTATTCAAACAGGAAAGAGAAAGAAGGCATGGAAGAGGATGGTTACTTGTTGAAAATGACTTTACTAGAAAATCACCTAAATATGAAAAATTCATTAGGCCAATGGGCTTACGTTTCAAGAAGGCCCATGTAACACATCCTGAACTGAAAGCCGCCTTCTGCCTGCCTATACTTAGTGTAAAGAAGAATCCTCCATCCTCACTATATACAACTTTGGGTGTTATCACCAAAGAAACTGTTACTGACGTGAACATGAGTAAGTTGGACCTTGTGACACAAGGAGGCAAGGTTATTTGGGGGAAATATGGCCAAGTTACCACCAACAATCCTGAAAATGATGGATGTACAAATGCTGTCTTACTGGTTTGATAGCAGTTACATACAAGTAACTCCTTGTAACTTTTTAAGATGATACACCAGTCTGGAAAACCACCATGACTATGATGTTTCTGAATAGAGCCGGTCTTACATGTCTGCAGTCATCAAAAGATTTTTATTGGGACCAGCAGTTAGCATAATGGCTATGTCGCTGGACCCCCATGTAGTCGACTGTGGTTCACGTCCCAGACCCGGTGGCTAAAAACTCACGCCAGGGACATATG